AATTGAACCACCAGGAAACCACAGCCCAACTCTGGCAGTACACCCTCCAGGATGTGTTTACAGCAAGGGAGGGGAATAAACAGATATAAGGAGTAAACAAATGTTAAGTTTCCTTCACTCCCAAGCAAAACACACGTCAACTTTCTGTAAAGTGGTGCCAGCCCAGGCTGGAAAGAGGTGCTTTGCTCTGGGAATGTCATGGCTTGCTAATCTTTAGCTTGTCTGGCCTGGGATGCAAGGTGTGTGTGTGTGTGTGTGTGTGTGTGTGTGTGTGTGTGTTTTGGGGGGCAGTGGGGAGACCTTTAGGAACAAAGACCCTGGAACCAGCAGCCACTCTAGGGAATGCAGATAAAGAACTAGCCACATTCCCCACACATTTATTTTTAGCCTACTGTATGCCCTGCAGGGATTTGCAGGCAAAAGCCAACAGCTCACTCAGCTCCAGCAAGGGAAGGAAATCCCAAGGAGGGGAAGGAAATCCCAAGGATTTTCAGATCTTCTGGTACAATCACCTGGAAACTAGGGAAAAACCTGGGGGAGGGAATGCTAGCCCAGCAACTGGACCCAAGGAATGTGCATTAGATAAAAGTGTCCTATACAGTTGTGGATGGCCAGTGCTGTACATTTGAATTGAGCAGGACAGTCCCCAGTTTCCCATTGCTGGGACTGGATGTAGATGAATTGATTTAAGAGGCCAGAGAGTAGTCTAGAGCAACTTGCTGCTGGGTCCTGGTAACTCCAGCAGCTGCTATTGTGGTCCAGTTTCTTATCAGAGATTTGCAAAGATTCCAATCTCTGTTTTCTCAAGCACTTAAAAGACAATTGCACGGCCTTTTAAAACCCTTGTTTGGGAGGCAGAAGGCTTCATTAGGATTATGATTGCATTCAGTGAAGCTCTAATCACTAGATACAAGTTAAAGAAAAATTTACCCATCACCATTTGCGCCTGTTTGCATTTTACCCGCTGCGCCCAGCCTACCCTTGTGCAAATAGATTGGGACGTGGCTCCACGCACACAGCAAGCAGGCTCAACTCCCTTACATACCTGACACTGGTTTCTGACTTCCCTCTTATCTACTGCCTGTCCCCCAAACGCTGGCTCCCTCAGCATAAGGTCCCACGTAGACTCAGGGACCCCACTGCTGAAACCTTGAGGTGGCCTTTTCACGCCTGTTTCCTCTGGCGTACGGCCACGTGACCGCAAGGAAATGAAGCAGGCAGGGGCAGGGGAGGCTCGGAGCTGGGAATGAGCCAGACACAGGGACACATGCCTGTGGTCCCAGCTACTCAGGAGGCTGAAGCAGGATTGATGGAGTCCTGGGCAACGTAGCAAGACCCATCACAAAATCAACGAAAAGCGGCAGAAACCTGAACATCACAACTGTGATTTAGGGCACTGCAGGTGGACTTTCTGGAAAGGCCAGGCAGCAATTACTTTCGGCTTTGTGAGCTAACAGTCAAGAGTAGCTACCTCATTCCTCTTTGTTGCAGTTTCCTTCTACGCTCTTCAAAGCCTACCTACCTGTACGTGACCTCAGGCAGTCCTTTTGTGGTGGTGGTGGGGGGGTCTGGATGCCATACCCATTGAACAGAAGAAAACATTGAGGCCCATTACTGACAGATAGGCAAGGCTGCCATATCTACTGCCATCCCAGATTCTCCAACATAGTGGCTCAGCCCCAAGCACAGCAAGGAGGAGGGTCTCTGCCATGCCCATAAGCACCCTAGGGAATACTCTAGAACAAGGGAAAGCCAGCCTGAGTAGGTGCTGTCCCTTCTCACCCTCCCTACTCCCCCAGTACTGGCAGAGCCAAGTTGAGTCAGCTGGAGCCTCTGCCCTGCCCTGGGGTCAGGGAGGAGATGTGTCCCCTGGGCTCCTGCCCTGCCCAGACTGGTAAAGGCAGCAGTTGGCTGGAGGTGACAGGGTACCCTCTTCCCTCACCAAGAGGGATGGTTCCTACCAACAGCTTGATTATTCAAGCAAATTCGAGAAAAAGTCTGGAGAGGCTGCTCTGAAGTCTCTCTTTGGGGAAGAAGTGGGAACGTAGTTCTTTTTTTTGGTCTTTTTGAGACAGGGTCTCCCTGTAGCCCTGGCTGGCCTGGAACTCACTATGTAGACCAGGCTGGTCTTGACCTCAGAACTCACAGAGATCTGGCAGCTTCTGAGGCCACAGCCTCTGGAGTGCTGGGATTAAAGGTGCTCTACATGACGCTCAACCAGACACAGTTCTTTTTTCTGTCTTTTTGAGACAGGGTCTCCCTGTAGTCCCAGCTGACCTGAACTCACTATGTAGACCAGACTGGCCTTGAACTCACCATGATCTGCCTGCTTCTGCCTCCGGAGTGCTGGGATTAAAGGCGTGCGCCACCACGCCCGGCCAGACACAGTTCTTAAGGCAACACCTTACTAGTCCAAACCCTGAATCCCTTCCTTCACAGAGTGGAGTCTCTGTCTCAGTCCAGATGTTGGCTCTGTTTCACCAGAAAGACTCTGGGGTCATGGAAGTTCTCAGACTGGATGATAGTGATAGTTGCATAGATCTGTACCTCTAATTGAAAAGCATCCATTTGCACCCTCTGGAAGATTGTGGCTCTGCCATTTAAAGCTGTGATCATGGACATGTTTCATAACCTCCCTGGTCCCGGTCTCCTCATCTAGGAATGCTAATAATAGTATCTGACACTAGATGAAAACTTAATGAATCAGCAACACAAACATTTAAGGAGACCTTGCACCTAGGAAGGGGTGGGTGACAGTTTGCTATCAATATCTTCATTCAGGCCCAAAGAGGTGTTGGGGCCTCACAGAGTGGCACTTGCCTAGCACAAGGGTATCTATCTCCAAGTTCCTAAGCCATGCCTCCACCTGGTCCTGCCCTCCAGCCTTTGCTCCAGCCTTAGCACTGCCAGAAACACCCTTCCCTCTCCACTCTGAAGCTAGGTACCCTCAGAAGCATCTCTTGTCTCCATGTACCTTGGAGCCCAGAGTCATACATAGGTCAAACAAAAATGAATTCCTGTCCCCATCTCCCAGGGTTCCCCGAAGATTATACAAACTGTAGATTGAGCAAGGATAAGGTCACCTACAGCCAGACCTGGGGTGGGGCCAGTGTGTTGCCAGAAACCTGTAGAGACACACCACCCTGAGTCAAGGGCTCCCTGCTCTCCACAGTCCCACCTCTCTGGCTCTTTAGTTTGATCCCATAGACAACCCAGACCCAAGTGGACCCAGAAAGGGAGCCTATGATTTCCCACCCCCCACCCGCCAACTCAGTGTCACTAGCAGGCTGGTAACCTGTTAGCAGTGGCTTGCGTTGACTTTTTCACAACTATACAGAGCCAAACACAGGGCACCGGGAAAGCAGGCTCTGTGGGGCGCAGAGGAAGCGGAAAGGGTGAGGGATGTTGCTTACATCCATGGAACACCTCTGACTCAGAGAGTATGCGGATATGCAGCGGGGTGGGAGACCCAAGAAAGTCATGAACACAAACAGAAACTCCACCAAAGGGCATACAAACAGGAAGGGGGTCCTGGAGGGCAGGTGGGAGCGGCTGGCCTGGGTCTACCCGGGTTCCTTCCTCCCCTGCGCCTCTCTTCCCAGGACTCCCGGGCTGCGGCGCGTCCTCCCCTTCCCGGCTGCTCCTTCTCCGCAGGTTCCAACGTGTCCCTTCCCAGCACCCAAGAGACCGAGGAGAGAAGCGGCGCCAACGGGAAAGCACTCCTGTCTCCCGGGTGCACTTACCAAAACCCCTGGTCCCTTCCTCCGGGGCCTCTTGGGTGAAAATCCAGGGCGGGTTGGTGGCGTAGAGGGACGTGGCGGCCGGGTTGGCATGCTTCTTCCCGAAGAGTTTGCTGAAGGTACCCTGCACCGTCTGGCTCTTCTTCATGGTGTCGCAGGACGTTTAGCTCCCCGGGAAGAAGAAGGACCTTCTGTCCTGCCCGGGATGGCACTGCGCACTGTCTCCGCAGGGGACACTACCAGGCCATGTCCCCACCGCCGTGGCTCCCCGCCTGCGCACCAGGCGACAGGTGGTGCGGGCGCCGCCGCTCGCCAAGAAATGCGAGCTACCTGCATAGGTAAGAGGCTGCCTGGGACCCGGCCCCGCCCCACTGCCGCCCAACTCCCCGGGCCACATTCCTGCCTCCTTCTACAGCAGCCCATTGTTGGCACCGAGCGCGCGCGAGGGGCTGGAGGACCTCGCCCTGCCCACGCCCAGACCTGCGAGAAGAGCCGCCCCCTGCCCCGGGTTCTCCACCCCGCCCTCCCAGGCCACCCTCTCCTCCCTGGGCTGGCCAAGGCCAGGGTGAGTTCTTTACTAATGAGGGCAATCCGATCGTGAGCAGATCAGGAGGGGCAGCTGGCAAACAGCTCCTGTGTCCCAGAGGAGGGACACTAGAGCATCCTGTAGGCCCTGGACACGTGGGCTCAAGGCTTCAAGAGAAAACAGGGAAAAGGTAATGTGGAAAAGCAATACAGCTGCTCAGGGGCCTTCATGCGGCCGCGCAAGCCAGTCATTCACGGAGAGGGAAGAGGCTCATAAGTATGAGGACATAAGCTGGTCTACTTTGCAAGTTCCAGACCAGCGGGAGCTAGAAAATGCCTATACCACCCTGCAATTCGGGAAGGAACTATCCCCATAGACAAGGCCCCAAAGAAAATGAAATCTTGGCATTTTCTAGACATTAACTTCTTCTAGCCTTTAGAATCAAGTGCATATAATTTTTGGGGGCAAGGCACAATTTGTTTTTGTTTTGGTCTTTTTGAGACAGGGTTTTTCTGTAGCTCCAGCTGACCAGGAACTAGATATGTAGATCAGGCTGGCCTTGAACTCACAGAGCTCTACCTGCCTCTGCCTCCCAAGTGCTGGGATTAAAGACCTGGGCCACCATGCCCCCAATGAATTTGGTTTTTTGGAGATGGGGTTTCCCTGTAGCCCCAGCTGACCTGGAACTTCTCTGTAGACCAGACTGGCCTCTATCTCACAGAGATCCTCCTGAGTGCTGGGATTAAGGGTGCAAACAATTACACCTGGCCTTAGAATATAATTTTTAAAAACCATAGTTGGAGCCAGGCCTGGCCATTCAGGCCTGTAATTGCAGCTGTATTTTATGAGGCTGAGGCAGGAGGATGCAAAGTTAAGGACTGGGTTACATATCCAGTTTGAGACTAGACTGGGCAACTTAGCAAGATTTTATATAGAAATGTTTAAATTAAGCCAGGCAAGGTGGTGCATACCTTTAATCCCAGCACATGGGAGCCAGAGGCAGGTGGATCTCTGTGAGTTTGAGGCCAGTCTAGTTTACATAGTGAGTTCCAGGCCATCTGGGGCTACAGGGAGACCCTGTCTCAAAAAGACAAAAAAAAAAAAAAAAAGGAAGGAAGAAAGAAATGTTTAAATTAATTAATAAGGATGGGAATGTACCCTAATGCAAGGCTTTGGGTTGGATCTCCAGTATCAACAACAACAACAACCCCCCCAAACCCAGAATTTGGAAGAACCCACTTTTTAATACTTTATTTTTTATTTTTATTTTAGTGTATGAGTACATTGCCTGCATGGATGTAAGTGCGCTGGTGTCCTGCAATGCCTGAGGAAGTCAGAAGAGGTGTTGGATCCCCTGGAACTGGAGTTACAGATGGTTGTTAGCCCCTATGTGAGTACTGGGAATCAAACCCAGGTCCTCTGCAAGAGCAGCCAGTGCTCATAACTGCGGAATCATCTCTCCAGCCCCACAAAGTTTTTTTTAGGGATGATGAGATGGCTCAGAGTTCAGAGTGCTTCCTGTACTTGTAGAGGACCAGAGTTTGATACTCAGCACCCACATCAAGTGACTCACAACTGCCTGTAACTCAGACTCCAGGGAATCTGATACTGTTCTGGCTTCTGTGGGCATCTGCATGTATGTGTGCACACACACAGGACACATATACCTAAAATAAAATCTCTAAAAATTTTTAAAATTACATTTTAGTAATTGTGTGTGGGGGGGGTATGACACACATGTGCCAAGATTAGAGAATAACTTGCAGGAATGAGTCCTTGGGCTCAAACTCAGGTCCTCAGGCTTAGCAGCAAGTACCCTTACCCACTGAGCCATCTCATGAGCCCAAACAATGGGTTTTTAATTTTTTTCTTTGATTATTTTATTTTTTAATAGTTTATTATTTTTATTTTATGTGTATGTGTGTATTGCCTGCATGTATGTGAGTGCACCCATGTCATGCAGTGCCTCGGAGGTCAGAAGAGGGCTTCGGATTCCCCTGGACCTGGAGTTAAGGACGGTTTGAAGTCACCATGTGAGTGGTGGGAATCGAATCCAGGTCCTCTGCAAGAGTAGTCAGTGCTCTTAATGGCTAAGCCATCTCTCCAGCCCCGATTATTTTATTTTTAAAGTTTAAAAAATTATTTATTTGGCCAGGTGTGGTGGTGCACGCCTTTAATCCCAGCACTAGGGAGGCAGAGGCAGGCAGATCTCTGTGAATTTGAGTCCAGCCTGGTCTACATAGAAAGTTCCAGGCCAGCTGGGGGCTACAGGGAGACCCTGTCTCAAAAAAGACCAAAAAACCACATTATTTATTTATTTTTAGTGGATGAGTATTTTGCCTGCAGAGGTCAGAAGAAGACATTGGATCTTCTGGAACCAGAGTTACAGACAGTTGTTAGCCATTATGTAGGTGCTAACAACCGAACCCAGGTTTTCTGCAAGCACAGCCAGTGCTTTTAACTGCTGAGCCATCTCCTAGCCCTACCAAGCAGAGGTTTTTTTAGGGCACTTGAGGGCCACTGGGGAAGGTCCCATCAGATGAGCACCTTAGAAGATCCTGTGTGAAAGATGCTGCAAGAGTCAGGCTAAAGGGTTGTCATGTGGTGTTTCCTGGGCAGTAGGGACCCCTACCTGCTGTCCATGTACAAGCTCAGAGGGGTCATTTGTTTCCCCTGACAGCTGGGATAATCCACTGCACGTTTCTCTCACTCCCTGCCAGGTGTTCTATCAGGGATGTTTTGTGCTCTATTTGTCTTTTTCCACTCTTGGTAGTGCTGGGGATTGAAGGCAAGGCCTTGCTTGGCAGGTGGTCTGCCTCTGAGTGGCACTTCCAGTCCCGTTCTCACTTTCTTTTTTTCTACACTTCATTTTGAAAACCTTTAGTATCCACTGTATAACTTTAAGAGCATTCTACATAACCACAGCACAATTGTTATTACAAGATGTGTAAGGGGCTGGGAGATAGCTCATTTGATAAAGTGCTGCTCTATATGCTTGAGGACCTGAGTTCCGATCCCTGACACCTGTGTAAAAACTGGGCGTGGGGGGCTGGAGAGATGGCTCGTGGTTAAGAGCACTGACTGCCCTTGCAGAGGACCTGGGTTCGATTCCCAGCGCCCACATGGTGACTACGAACCATCCTTAACTCCAGTTCCAGGGGAATCCAAAGCCCTCTTCTGACCTCCGAGGCATTGCACGACATGGGTGCACTCACATACATGCAAGCAATATACTTATACACATAAAATAAAATAAAAAACAAAACAAACTGGTGTGATTACATGCCTCGGTAACCCTAGTGCTAGAGGGGCAGAGGCAGGCAGACCCCTGGGAGCGCATTCATTGGCCAGGCACTCTAGTCAGTTTGTTCAGCTCTGGGTTCACTGAGGGACCTTGTTTCTAAAAGATAAGGTAGGGGCCAGCAAGGTGGCTCAGTAGGCAAAGGTGTTTGCTGCCAAGCCTGACAACCTGAGTTTGATCCCTGGGACCTAGATGGTGGAAGGAGAGAACCAAGTCCTGTAAGTTGTTCCCTGACCTCTTCACATGTACCATAGTATGAGCGTGCGCACACACACACACACACGAATAAATAGGCAATGTAAAAAGTTTTTAAAAGGGGTTGGAGAGATTGCTCAGTGGTTAAGAGCGGTGGCTGCTCTTGCAGAGAACCTGGAGTTCAATTTCCAGCACCCACATGACAGCTAACAACCATCTGTAATTCCAGTTCCAGGGGACTGGAAGCCCTTTTCTGGCCTCTGCAGGCATTGCACTATACAGGTTCACTTACATACATGCAGGCAAAACACTCCATACACAAAATAAAAATAAATAAATGTAAAAAAAATTTTTAATTTAAAAAAAGATAAGGTAGCCAGGTATAGTGGGACTTGCCTTTAATCGGGAGGCAGAGACAAATGGATCTCTGTAAGATTAAGTCCAGCCTGGTCTCCACAGTGAGTTCCAGGCCAGCCAGGAACAACAACAACAAAAAGGGTGGAAAGAGTGTTGGAAGACATCTGATGTCAACCTCTGGCTTCCACACACATGTACACACGTGCACATGCACCCACATCCACACATCCACCCATATACTATTCACACAAAGAAATCTAACATTGATACACTATTATCATCTGATATCCATATTAAAATTGCCCCCATTCTCCCATAAATGTTTTTTCACTTTGTATTTCTTTGCCCACAATTCAGTCAAGAGCCACACGACCTTTGCTTATCCTGCCACCCTAATCTCTCATTTTAACCTTTCCCTGTTTTGTTTGTTTGCTCTCCATGACAGCGACATGTCTGAGAAATCCCCCTCACTTGCCTCAGCTCCAAGGACTAGACAAACCAGGCCTTCCAGGCTTGTGGCTGTGAGGTCATTGCTTTCCAGGTACACCAGATGAGAAGGGACTGAAAAACAGTTGGGGTGGGGGTGGGGACCACCTCTTTATTTTATTTTATTTTATTTTAATTTTATTTTCCACTGTTAGGAAATGTTTAACCCGGGGCCTTAAACATGCTAGGCATGCTAGGCAAGGGCTCTACTGCTGAGCTTACAGACCCAGCCCTAGGGGAATCATTTTTAAAAGCACCCCTTGGGAACAGGGCATGGTGGGGCACATCTTTAATCCCAGCACTCAGGAGGCAGAGGCAGGCAGATAGAGCTCTGTGAGATAAAGGCCAGCCTGGTCTACATAACGAAGTCAAAGCCAGCCAGGGCTACATAGTGAGACCCAGTCTCCAAAAAA